AATGAAGGACTTTTATTTATTATTTATCGATAAATTAAATGTAACTAATACGGAAATATTAAATAGCTTTTCGAAAGCTACAAAATTGTATACAACATACAAAGTACCTTCATTGATATAAAAAAATTACACAAACTTAAACAACAAAAGAAAACGTACGAACTTTTGGTTCACCCTAATATTTGCTGATGTCTCATGTAGAATTATATCGCATGGAACTTCTTTGTTCTCATTAAAACGTTGACTAATGCAAAAGTTTATCTCGACGATTCTGATTACTTATCAAACAAACCTATTAACGCTGAAACCGTCAGGTCCTCAAGTCAAATTAGTCAGTTACATAAGTAAATTGCTTCCTATTTACAAAATGCATGCACGTCTATTATGTAACTAAAGCTCAAAGAATTACTGCTGGTAAACGATAAACACGTCGATTAGCATTAACAATAAACAGTCGCCTGTGAACGTAGCGGAGGTCTGTACAGTGTTAGATACTTATTGAAAACAAAATAATAAAGCATCGTACTTTGCCCTGATCGAGATCAATAAAACGATTGATTCGTGATTGAAATGTCGTACAACACACGAATTACATTGGGTTTTTCTCACGGGTGATAAACATTGTCTTACGTGGCAAGAATCGCGTGAGACACTCATCAACTCTTCCTCGAAGCCAAGGCTAGCGTCGTATGTCAGATAATCGTTTCTTTTATACTGTCTATTATTCGACTCATTTCGTTGGATTCACTAAGTCTAATCTCCCCTTCTGCAAAAATCAATGCTCATATCATGATTAAAACAGACTATAAGCGTATTGTTGAAATAATTAGAAAGATAACAGAGCAAAAATTGATTGGAAACCTCCAGAATAAATAAAATTCTGTTCATTACATAAAACGGTCAAACAGACGTAAAACACGTACTTCCATGTCTAAAATAGCACAGAAGTGCTTATTACTTAGTCATCTGGTCTTGTGTCACGCTATTTTAACGCGGGATACACGTACGTTTCCGAATCTAGACAAACCGTCGGTGACTTGGTTTGTTTCCGCGTGCACTACGTGACTCGAAGTTTCATTCAACAGGACAATAACAATTTTGCGGTTGCGACAAACACGATGAATGAATGCTAATAAGCCGGAACAGTTACACGTAACGAAACGAGATGCACGTAAATACTGATGTAACCGAATATCTGTGTATATGATATTACCGAATGTTTAACGAAATCATAATGTTAGCTCGAAAGCTTATATTTCGCGTGCCGCGTTATCGTAACTACGTATGAATTCAATAGATTCATTCCTATAATTATCTTCTCGTGAAAACGTTGTCAGCAACTGTGATTAACTATCACAGCATCAATCATTCGGTTTTTATTTTTCCAGTCATTAGCTCCTGGTTAATGAGACTTATTGCAGGATAAAGTATTCTCAGAACGCGGTAAATATTACTGTCCTGATGCAGATTGTTGTTAAAAAAAACAGATAATGTTGGCATTGTGCTTTGGTATCTCCTTTACAATTAGTAGCTGGTCGCACTTGTTGCAAATATATTTGCACAAAGAACGTTCTCGTCGTAAAATGATAGCCTGGAAAAATAAGAAAATCGAATTATGACTGTGGCTTATGAGCGATAGTTGTGTTATTGCTGACTTTAATACCATTTTTTATTTTTTTTTATTTTTA